TTAAAAGCTGCCAACCTTCAAGATTATTGTTGAAAGAACCCCTGATATTTAACCACATCTTAGGGCTTTGGATTTATTTGTACAGTTGGAAAAATAGGTTTTATTTTTGGCTCATTGAAATGAAATCCCGACAACTACTGATAAAATGCTTCTTTCACCTGAAGAGCATGGAGGCCCATTGGGTCAAAAGTAGAGTTTCAAAGGACTATTCATCCTTTTTTACCCCCAAGGCTTCAGCTACGGTGATGGTTTCTTTACTTGTCTCAGTAAAAGAGAGATGTCAGATTTTTTTTTTTTTAAGGATTTTTCAGAATGCTGCTGCTCACTTTTTAATCAACACACGCAAGAGAAATCACATTACACCAGTTTTGAGCATTGCTTCACTGGATACCAGGTTATTTTTAGAGTTCATTTTAAAACTCTGGCCCTCACTTTGAGAGCTCTTCACAGTCAAGCCCCCTCTTAAATCTCCGACCTGCCTCACATCCCTGCCTGAACCCTGAGGAGCAGAGGGTATCGAGCCTTTCAGGGTGGAACATGCTGCACTGCTTAACTTCTGTTGACTCTTTTAAGAAGCACCCAGACTCTTTCATTCAAACATGTCGACATTTCCATGGCTGTGGTTGCATTGTGCTTTATGTATCGTGTTTTTATGCATCTTTGTCTTTGCTACTCTGTCTTTAAAAAAATGCTTTCTCAATATCTTTTACTTATGTATCTGCTTGTAGAAGATATGTGTCATCTTGAAAGAAACACTTAAGGACTTAAATTTCCTCATGAAGTAGTCTACTCAATCCCTTTTCTACCTTTTTATTTTGAATGTGTGATATCTGTAAAGTTCTTCAAACAGTTAAACTGTGTGTGTGTGTGTGTGTGTGTGTGTGTGTGATTTCAGTCCCAACGTTTTTGCATGTGACCCAGGATCCCCTGGCAGCTAAAAGCACGACATTCAACTCAATTAGTGGCATGCATAATTGATAGCTGTCTGGGAGTGTATTTGTATTTACACTGGAATTAAAAGCCTCTGGTGTCAGCTATCACATCTGAGGAGCTGTAAGTGTAAGTGTGTGTGTGTGTGTGTGTGTGTGTGTGTGTGTGTGTGAAACTGTCCTGGAGAAGTGAATGTATAGAGCTGCATGTGCATCATAAGAAGCCTTAGAGGATAGAAGATTTTTTCTGCTGCAGGGAAAACTAATTCACAGTTAATCTCTCAGCAGCACGACACGTTGTTTTGGCTAATAGGTGCAAGACGAATGTACAATGCTGCTTTCACTGCAGCTACTTAACACTTTGATTTAGGCAGATTGGTTACAAATGCACCTTCTCAAAAACGGTATAAAATATAAAGGACTATTTTCATATGTTTGGACATAAGATTTAAAGATGCTAACCTGTTTTTATATCAAGCTTCATCAGCAAAATAGAATAAATTTCAAATTATTTCCAACAGTCAACAAATACCTTTTACACTGTTCACATTTTGCATCATTACACCTATAAAATTCAGTATATTATGTTGACATTTGTGTGAAAGAACAACACAAAGTAGTGCATAATTAAGGATGCATGCTGTTTATTCAATAATGTCTAATAAATGTCAGAGGCCCTTATAGAACAGATGAAGATAAATTCAACTCAGCTAAACTCAACTTATTAATAATTAGGAGATTTTGAAGCCATGTAGTTGTACTGGAGCGGTTGAGTTTAATTAGTAAGAGATGTTGAACCCCATTTATTCCCTTCCTCCTACTTTATGATGGCCTCCATTTTGTCCATTTGCTTAAAAAGGAAAGTCAAAGTCCAGACATATATATAATTGAGAGTCTGTGAAAAAAATTGGAGACTGATGTTCACAGATGCTCTCCATTCAACTTGACTGAGTTTGAGCTATTTGCAGAGAAGAATGGGTAAAGATTTCAATGGAATTCAAAAATGCTCTATAAATCCTAAAGGGGAGTTTCTATGCTGCATCCGTCTCGAGTTTTGACTTGAGGGTTGAATACACATCCATAAAACATCTTTGAGATTTAAAAAAAAAAAAAGAAAATGTGGAAAATTATGAGTCTTTCTGACTACTACTTTTTAACAAATAAAATTCCAATAAAATAAACTTTTGGTCATAATGTGGTATATTGTGAATGGTGTAAATCATTTAGTAAAGTATGGTTTATTAAACCACTGATGCATGTGGAGAAGAAGCATTCAGCTTCTATGCACTACAAATCTGGAATAAAATTCCAGAAAACTGCAGAACAGCCGAAACATTGAGTGCCTTTAAATCTAGACAAAAACCCACCTGATTAGAGTTCCTTTTGAAACATAATCAATGAAACATTAGTCAACAAACTGATGTGTGACGACGGCAAAATGTATTGTTTTAAATATTGACTGTCTTTTCTATGATTTTGTATTTTTGTGTTATGAAGTAAAGCACTTTGAAATGCCTTGCTGCCTTGTTGCTTTCAAAAAAGCTTCAATACATCAATTTTTTAAAATATAAATCATGTCATCAAGTGAAAATCATAAACTTATCTTTGGTACTTTTAAAGTTGTGTAGATTTTTTTTTTACATCAACCTTAATTAAACCAAACAGAAAATCCCTTTAAACGGTGTTACTACGTGAATATGATCCTGAACGCAACGTGTCAGACGCCTCCAGCAGACGCCAGTGCGGCAGAGTGCTGAGCAGTCTGATAACCTTGGTCAAAGTCGCTGCCGTTGAACAGAAAAGCAGCAGCAGAGGGGTGACAAATGGCCCTGGCACTGAGTTCATCACCTATTTGATTTAGCAAAGAGAAAACCACCAGTCACCTTCGCTCAACGCCACGCTGCTGCCCCTGACTCGAAGTGGAGGAGGGAAAGTGCTTTCTCCTATTTCCTCCTGGTTTATTTCCCTCCAGTTCGTACTTCACTTCTGCTTCGAACCTTTTGCTCTCTCGCTTGTAATGATGGTCATCTACGCTTGTTATACTGCTAACCCTGTTTCTCCTCTCTGAGAAATAACTGTTGCTTACAGCAGATGCTGCCCTAAAGATTCGTTAACTTTCAGTTCATCAGATTTTTTCCCCTCTCTGTTTGAAGGCAGAAATCCCAGTATGAAAATACACATTTTTCTTGACCAAATAAAATTCTTCTGCCAAATGTCATTTCCTGCTCTTCATTTAGTACTTTAAATGGTGACTGAAAAGTTGTTGGACATAATTTACACCTCTATTTTGAGCAGGATCTTTGTTTTTAATGCTTTTAATATAAAGATTTGATTATTTTGCATAAGAAATATAGTATGTAAATCATCAAATCCTGATAAATAGGAGTTATTCCTTTTCTGTGTTGCTCAAAGCACTACTAAAGTTAAATTTGTTGGCCTGATATTAATGCATCCAGCTGTAATCTAGTTATATTGTAGCTATTAACACAAAATATGTCCCACAGGATAAAATGGTTTTTATGGCATATTTTTAAAGTGTATTTTAGCTGTTTTATAGTAATAAAATTTAACCCCTTTCTGTTTTTTCCTTACTTGGTTGCCATATTGTATGTTCTGTCTGACTTGCAACACATTTTTCTTTTTATATTAATTTGCCGCTATAGGTGGGATCAGGCTTTTAAATGATCTCTGTGTGACTGTTGGCACTACAAAATGTATTTTAAAGGGAGTACCATTGTTTTTAAAGTCAAAAAGTCATTTTAAGCCATTTCTCTGACTGCTCTTCACAGCAGCCAGGCTGATCAGAATTAGAACAAAAATTACAATGTCTACCTAAATACTGCCAGAATTTCAGTGTTTTAAATTACAGGTTTTGTAGTGAATTGTAAGCATTTGGGTCTGACCACAAGAAGCTTTTAGATTCCTTGATAGGGTGTCAGTTTATTATGTCTCCTCTCCCAGAAAACATTTCCTCTGACTGCTTCTTCTTCACATTACACATGCACGTTTTTCTGTTTATAAACTCAAATTCATGTTGCAAGCATGAATGTTGCTACGTTTATCTTTTGTGATGAGTCAGTTGTGCTTTGATGTCAGAGTTTTGGCTTTCTAACTCAGAATTTTCACATATTCCTCAATTTCAAACACGGTATAGAATAAAACAGTTGTTATCTATAAGCCTGGAAGCTGAACAGATTTTAACATTTGCCTGTGACTTGTAGGTTTTGTGAAGAAGATCAGAGCTGCTGGAGAAACTGTGATGATTGTTAGCAGGGAATCATGACAGAGTGAACTTGTTTTAATGTTAATATTATTATTTTTTTACAGCATAGTTTTATTTAAACATTTTTAATCTGTTTTTATATATTTATTCTAACAAATTGTAACCATTTTATTGAATCTAACCTTGAATGGTTGGCATATTGTTTACTTTTTCTTATGAACTAAACAAGAACATTTTAATCAGTTTTAGACTTTTTTAAATGTTTTTGACCAAGTTTTTCTAATTCTGGCATGAAGGAGGCAGGAAAGGGAGCAATGGGAGACAAGAGGGTGGGGTGGGGTAAGTGGCTGGGGGTCAGATGAGACAGAGGGTTTAGGATCCAGTCCATCCATCCCTGGACTCGCAGTGGGCCGGCGGACAAAGTGATCATTGTTTCCCAGTTGGCGAAGAGTTTTCCACTCCAGTAAAGGTAACGGGACATTTTGATTTCTTACTTTACTGTTTTTACCACAAAGATAATTTCACAGCTAATGAAATAATTGGTGAACATATGTATTGTATTTATTAAAAATACTCTTTTTTTTTGTAATAGCTTCACAATTTGTGTTGCTTTATTTTTAATTTGACTATAGATAAAATAGGATTCATGATTAAAGTGACTTTTAATGCTCCTAAGCTGTAAATGAGCTGAAATAATGTTAAAAAAATTGTTTGTAAATGTTTATAATTTCCTTTTTGATGGCAGACCATTTCGAAGCTGGCCTTAAACGTTGGCCTAAAGGTGTGAAATATCCCGTGACCCCTGAGTGTCCTCCCACATGAGAGGAAAAAGGGAAATAAAGTAAGAGCTGAGGAGGAGATATCGTTTTGTTGTTGCTCCAAGATAAGGGGATATTACAGCTTGTGGAAAGGAGCTTATAGGAGAGGAGAGACATGATTCACTGGGGAAGAAGTGAAGTGCTTCTTCCTCGTAGAGATGAGCTTTTAGCCTTCCAGGGAGAACGTCGGCTGCAAATCGCAGAGTGGGGGGAAGGTCATTGTGTCTATGAGAGGATGATGTGTGTGTTTACCAGGAGAAATTATACAAAACTAACAAGAAGAACAGTTTCTGTAGGGGGGGGAATTATGCTTCTCCATCCTGATGAGTTAAAGATAATCTTATGCACCTCATAAGTTTTATGCATGTAATGAATATCTTGAACTCAGGCTCACCGGTAACCGAATATATATGAGAATAAATAAAAATTCTGTGATGAAGATGCTGAATTATTGCATCTGTTTGTCTGTCTTTGTGACAGATGCAGTGCAGCTGTAACTCCTCAGTCGGGCACTTTTCATCACCTTACTGGAGCCGAGGTAAGACTGTATGCGTTTGTGCTGATTTTCATCTCGGCTATTTGCATATTTGTGGGTTGACATTTGCGTAGGAGGACTTTTATATGAAAAAAAAAAATTATTATGAATTCCCTCTCTGCAGAACCCATCTACGTCTTGCATTTTAATGCGATAAAAAATAGATTAGATTATGAAAAAATAAACATGATGTCTTCATGGACAAACTGCACCAGTGAGAAGTTTAAGGAACCAGCTCACATAAAACTCACCGCTGAAGTTATGAAAAATACAGCATGAAGGCAATTATGTTGACCATGCAAATCTTCCATCTATGTTACAAGTTTTATTTTTTCTATCATTTTTCCCTTTTTTTTGACACAAGCAGAGTAAAGTTGTAGATGTTTTTGGATTGTTATGTAAAGGTTGTTCTGAAGCTTTTGAGAGTCTTTCTACTATCATCCGACTTTTTGCACAAATCTTGCAAATGATTATAATCAATAAATATTTTGTAATAATAATATATTTTTTTAAATTATTCTAAGGTTGTCTTGATCAACATTCATACAGAATTATTGTATTTCTGAGACCTCTGCAGCTGTTCAACCTGCTGTAATGTGCTAATTACATTTTCTCATTCTTTATAGAAAAAATGCAAAAACTTTGAACATATTATATTGTTTGATAGTTTAAAAATATATTTAAATATCCCAAATATTTTCAAAATGTGTACATATTGATCTTTATGTATGAAATAATTGCATTATTTTTTTATTATTTAAAAATTTATATAAAATTCTACATATTTTGGAGCATGTTTATATAAAAGACCCAATATTTTTTTTTACTGTTCAAAAATCTTAATTCTATGATGTTTATTGTATGAGGTTTTTAAAAGTTAAGCCTTATGCCAATGGTCATCATTTTTAAATTTTTCTAAGACCTCAGTCTGTCATGTTTGTACATTCATCATAGCCTGCTGTAAAGATTAATCATTTTATGAAATTTATATATATTTTTAATCAAAATTCACAATGCATAGTTCTGTTGTTGTACTGTAAAGGTTCAAACAAACTAAACAAACAAAATGTATTTTTTTTCCTATGACATTGATTATGGATTTAGAAAACAGAATAAATTATGCCGTTTTAGAAAAACGTTTTATTAAATTACTATGCACTGTTCAGCTTTTAAATTACATATTTTTCTGAACTTAGATTTTTCATCTGCATGCTAGCTCTGCAGGAAATATGTCTTCATGTTTTCCTAAAAGAAATGCTTCTTCAAACTTGTTTCATTCTGGATCTAAATTATTAACAAATATTTTTATTGATTTTATGTATTGGATTTAAAGTTCTGGTGCTACCGCTTTAGAAAATGTTTAAAATGTAGAAGATGCACATGACTGCTGAACTGCACCGAGTCAGCAAGGTTGTGTGAGGCCCCTTGCAGAATTAAATTTTCCTGCAGTTAAATGTACCAGTCAGCACCAGCATTTTTCTTATTTAGTCCATTTTGCAGTTTGCATTTAAAAACTTATTTTTGTGAATAAATATTGAAATAAACAAATCATTTAATAAAATTCTTAATTTGAACCTTTTTTTTAGTTTCAGTTATTGAATATTTAATTTTGTTGTAATTCTTTGAAGTTCAGATGATAAATACTTTTTCAACTTTTCTGGATTGGCCACACCCACATGCTTTGATGTATGGAAAAGACTTTGATAACTTTTGATCTTTAATGGCTTGTCAATAAGGTGAGTGATTTTGGAGTCTCAAAAACTATAGGAGTTTGATGAGATAGAACATCTGTAAAAATAAATAAATAAATAACACAATGGTGGCTTTGATCCAAAATGGCCGACTTCCTGTTGAGTGAGGACCACTTTTTTTGTACCTCTTGATAAAATACATGTGTACCAAATTTCATAATTCTGGGTTAAAGCATGGCTTGGGGATGATCATTTAAAGTATTGTAGGGGGCGCTGTAGAGAAATTAGGCCACACCCATCAGAGATTGCTGTGGGTTCCTGATGGGGGGCAGATCAGGATCGATCCCAGTGAGTTTGGTGCACCTTTGTTTAAATCTGTGAAATTTTGAGTCAGACACATTGCAACAGTGTCTTCACTGCAGGCAATAAGCACAAAAAATAAAACTCTGTTTTCACTATACGATACAATTCAAACACAACACACGATTCTACTAAAAGAAGCAAAGAGAAAAAAACTAAACAAAATGTTGACTACAAATGTTCATCTGGTCAAAGTCCAATTTTTTAATCTAAATCATAGGGGCATGTATATTTGAATCTGTATGTATAGTTTAGTAAGTATTGGAGAAAATTCCTAATGAATTCCGACTCGTGCAAGAGATTCTTATTTTAAGTTGCATGTTGCATATTTATTCCACAGTGAGATAAGAACAGTTCAAATAAATCATCAGAAACCCATAACCACAATCAGCATACATAAACTTCTGACCAGAACTTTATTCACATTACTTAATAAACATGATGAAATTCTCACCTTCTGAAAAACAGAAAAGGAAAACAGAACACAGGAGATTCATGACAGAAACGAAAGTGAGAACTGTTGCACTGGATTGCAACATATTTCCAAAGTTGCCTGAAAATGTTGACTAATATCTGTAGCAGAGACAGAAAACCACATATTTTACAGGGACCTTTCAAAAATAATAAATCATGGGGAAATGAGACGCAGTCATTCAGTTTCTCTGCATGTCAGAAAAACCAAGTGTCAAAATCCCTTAAAGATGTTTTCAGCTCTGAAACTTCTCTTCAAACATGACAAATGCACAAAACTTTCAGATTATAAACTAGAAAATTAGTTGTAATTAATTGTTAAAGTATGATATGGTATTGAACAGAATAGAAGCAGAGATCATTTTTATTCTTAACTGTAAAATAAACACAAACTAATAAACTATTCATCAGAGGTCAAAACAAAATAAATAAACAATACAAATTAATATAAAGATTTTTGGTTTAGATATTCATATAAAACCTGTTTGCCTTGTTCAGTGTTTTATAAGAACTTCTGTAAATACAAAATGCCGACAAGAGCAATAAAACTGCGTCCTATTAATCGACCACCTCTGATCCCAATATTTAATGCAATTATTTTAAACCTTGGTTACAGTAAAGAGATTAGAAAGTGCTGCCATATTCAAATTCGTTTTTAATGAGACAGCAGGTTAACTATTGCAGGTAAAAACACCTGATTTGTTTCATCAAGCCGAACCAAAGCAGCTTGTACAGCAGGTATTTGTAACACGGTTTTTAATGAGGAGTTAAGCTCCTGAACTAAAACACCTGTTAGGAGATAAACCTAAAATAACGAGACGAGTTGAATATCTTTTTTCCCCCCGCGGTCGTACCGTGTAATTTGAGCTCACAAGAGAGGCACAGAGCCTTTTCGAATACACAGAAGTATTACTTTTTTATTGTACCGACCAACTTAACCAAAATCCTATAATCCATAGCAAGAGAAATCATCCGTGAGGAAAAATATGTTGAACTCAGATTTAGGGATCTGGGACAATGATAAATGGAGCTCAAGGGCTTTACCCCAGCTTTTTAATAAGAATCAGATATTTAAAAGAGAACAAACTCTACTTATCTTTGTTCCTATCTGGTTGGAAACGGCTTTATGCCAGATCAGTTTACACAGTGTGGGAATGAAACGGCTTTAAATTTGGCAACGCTTTAATTTTTTATTAAAGCAGTGGCAATGATGGATAACTAATGTGTTAAAAGCCTTTTTTATTAACCACACTGTCTTTGTCTTAATTCTGCTGTTAGTCAAGTTCAGTGAAACACCGCCTGAGGTTCTCTAAGGACACATTTGAATAGAAATGATTTCCGCTGCATTTCTGCAGAAGGTCAAAATGAGTTGCTTGTGTCTTTTTATCATGAGATAAACTGTTTCCCACTCTATATGAAATTAGTCTGCAGCCCAATTTGTAGAGAAGCCTGTGCAGGTGGTGCAGTGAGACAGGAGGGACAAATGGATTCAAAATGGAGGTGAGTTCAGATCAAGAAGGTCAACATGAGTTGCTTGTGTTTGGATCGTTTTTGGCAGGTTTGAAAGATGAAGTCAGGCAGGACTTTCCACCGAGTATCAGAGATGCAGATGACTTTGTGATGTTTAGTGAAACAAAGGAGAGCCTGGAGAGAAAGTGTGCATAAAAAGGAAAGTTTACAATGTCGTTTAAAAATAAGATTCTCATTGGGAGTGACCGAAATGGAAACTATTTGAAAAAGGCAACATTAAAAATGTAGCAACTTCTATGACAGAGGTGAAATGTTCTTTTCTGCACTCCATTCAGCCTTCCTGTTATCAACGGAAAGTCTGCTCTCTGACACAACCTGAATGAACCAACAGCAGGTCCAAACATCTCCTGGAAAACAGTTTTATTTTAAACAGCTGTTAGAGTACTAATTGTTTGTAAGTGAAAATATTTGATTTTCAGTCGTGGATGAAATTTCTCTGCTTAAATTTGTTGCAGGGTTTAAAATAATTTTTTTATGGGTGTGCTGTGGTGGCGCAGGGGTTAAGCACAACCCACCTATGGAGGCCTTAGTCCTCGACGCAGCTGTCGCAGGTTCAATTCCCAACCTTGGCGACCTTTGCTGCATGTCTTCCCCCTTCTCTCATTACCCACTTTCCTGTCAATTAACTATTAAATAAAGGCCACTAGAGCCAAAAAATAATAATAATTTTTTTACAGTATTGTGTAAGGTTTGAATTGCCCCTGCTGTAGTCTCTTTCTTTGTTTTATCAAAGTAGCCAGAATTTCTCATGATATTTCATGTCAGTTCTTTAAAGTCTGGATTATTGGGAGGGTAAAATGAGGAACTGGAACTGGTCCAGTTGAAGCTGTTACTGGTTTTATAATTTGACATTTCTTCTCCTCCCCACAGCAGTGCTGTTTCCTGATTGGGCCTACAAACCTGCCTGGTCTCCTGGTTCCAGGCAGGTCCAGCTGTGGCACTTCCTGTTGGAGCTGCTGGGCTGCGGCGAGGGCGGAGCCATCGGCTGGGGGGGCGAGTGGGGCGAGTTTGTCATCAGGGACCCCGAGAGGCTGGCCAGGCTGTGGGGGGAGAGGAAGGGCAAACCACACATGAACTACGACAAGCTGAGCCGGGCGCTCAGGTAAAGACTCACCATTCCTATCTGAGCTGATCCTGCCTCAAGCTGCTGCTTTCAATAACTATTAAAAAAAAAAAAAAACCTCCTTGGCAGTACAAGTTGTACGTATTAAAATGTAGCATCCAAAATGCCTCTTAGATGCAACACATTGCGTCTGTGAGAAAACAAGCAGCTAAAGTGCCCTGGAGGAACTGGAGTGCTCACATCAGCATTTCAGTCTGACACAGAAACACGTTGTGCTTGCAGATACTACTACAACAAACGCATCCTGCACAAGACCAAAGGGAAAAGATTCACCTACAAGTTCAACTTCAGCAAACTCATCCTCGTCAACTATCCAGGGTACCTGCCTCCATCCAGCCATCAGGTCCTTATCAACAAATTACAGGGTTTCACGTTGCTTCTTGTCGTCTTTATTCCCTAAATAATTCGGTAAAAATCACAAAACCTTCCTAAAGCTTTAGATAAAAGTTTTAAAGTCACATTTTTAGAGAGAAGACGCCATTCTCCCTTCATTTATTGGCAATCCTAGAAAAGAAATGCAAAGTAAACTCAGATTTTATTTTAGTAGCAGAATTTACCCCATCACAGGGCAATGTTGAGACACGCAGGACAACAACCACATAACAACAATTCATATAAGATAAAATATTCTAAAGCATTTTTATTTATATTTAAGATTTTAAGCTAACCAGAATGTCTGTGACTTTTTTCTATTAATAACTTAAGACTTCCTGTTTCGTTTTTCAAAATGGAAAAGACAGGAGAACATAGATTCAAATGGTGAGCTTCAAAAAGTGTGTCGAACTTTTAAAGTGAGGAAATGGCCAAAGAAAACCCATAAATTCAGGACATCATAGTCCTAAATGATTTAAACAGACAAAAATAAAACATCAACTTCACCTCTTCTTGTTTTTGACAAATTCAAGGCCTTTTGAGGCTCTATGTTGGAGAGCAAAGAGTATCATTCTGGGTTCCCAAACCTCAGAAACAATCCCTACATTTGCCAGTGAAAGGTTTAGCATCACATCTGTAAATATGATGCTAAACAGCTAAACTTTACTCTGTTTGGTCAAATTAAAGTGAACTTTCTTGATCATTTCATGCAAAGCCATTGAAAAGTTCCTTATTTAAAGTTTGATCTGTGATGCTGTGGGCCTGTTAGAGTGAATTTTATCCTAAACTCATCAGCAGGTGTAGTGGTATTTATGCTACAGATTATCATGAAGTGTGGTTGTGAACGGTGAGAGAGACGCCGGGGAACCCAGGTAGTCATAATGAAGAAGTTTAATAATAAAGAAACAGGAACATAAACACTGGTAGCACGGGGAGCAGCAACTAACAGACGAAGACGAGGACCCGACAAGGAACACTGACAGCAGGTGGGACTAAATACACTGGGAGGGTAATCACAGGAACGACACACAGCTGGGATCAATCAAGACAACACAGCGACTCAGGGGAAAACAGGACTAGACAGACAGAAACTCGAACTCAAAACACAGAACCTAACACAGATTAGATTTTTAATATAGAAATAAACCTTCTAAAATTAAAGGTGCATGGAAAATTAGTTCACTGGAGTAAAACATCAATTCGTTCTAAGGCTTTTTTAGCTATAATTACCATAAATGCTTCAAAGTAAAACATTTTCCTCCTCAACATAATAGTTTTACAATCTGGACTCCTGGATATCTATTAAATTATGTAAAATAAATCAAGCATATGACTCACCAAAGAAGGGCGGGAGTAGGTTAAAGGCTGAAGACAGGGTAATTATTTTATAAATTCTGCAATAGTAAGGATTATTAAAGAGGCAATTTGCCATTTAAAGCTAAAATGTGCTGCATAAGCATCTAAAAATCTTCCCTTTTTAGTTAAAAAAGTGGATTACAGAATTACATTTCTAATGTAATAAAACTGAGGATCACTTTCCTCCTTCTGGGTTTTTTTCTGAACTCTTCTGATTCTTTCATCTACATTCCTAACAGTTTTTAAAAAGTTCCAAAAGTTAAATAATGAGAATGCAATTAAACCTGCAGTTTTAATTCAAATTAACACACCAAGAAACACAAGTTCTGTTGAGAAATGTGCTTGTTTTTTTTTAAACATAACGTATCAAATGCGTTCAGTGTGTCACTGCAAGCACAACCTGGACTCTTTCCTCCACGAAAGCAGTCACAGGCAGGGATTGGAGTAATCTCGGAATAACCCAGGCTTTCCCTGAATTAGTCCTCGTATGGATCGCAGCATATGCTGCTCCCAGACCTCTATACGTCATGCAGAATTAGCCGTGACAGAACAGATGTGCGCGTCCTAACAGCCGTGTGCGCTAATGCTTCTCCATATGACCACAGATGCTGCTCATGGAGCTGTGCTCCGATAACAAGTTCAGAGAGTCTTCTCCTTATTCTGCAAGACAGTGTGACTAAATCATTCAAAAAAAAAAAAGAAAAAAAAGAATCAATTAATCAAATTTCAGAACAGTTCTCTGCTTTAATTTAATCAATGTTAAATGGGCCTTGGGGTTTCGCTTCTTTTGGTGCAGAATGTTCTCCAAATTCTCTGAATTTTTGTCAGCCTAGCTCCCCTGCTGATCAAATGATTTAGCATTAAATTAGTATTTAGTACATTTTCCAGAAATAATAATAATAATAAAAAAAACTTTTTTTCTTTTCCATCATTTTGCAAGCAATTTCTCTTTTTTCGTGTTTCATGCTTTCTGTTTAAAACATGTGGTGTTCCTAATGTTTTGGCTGAATGTTTGCAGACTGCATTGTGTTGATGGTGTTGGTTTCTTCCATCCCTCCATCCCTCCATCCATCCCTCCATCAGCTGGTCCACAGGGCTCCTCTATGCCTCCCATTCCTCTCCTCTGAGAGTGGCCTTCCTCACTGTGGAGGAGCAGGATCATTGATAGACAGAGGTAAACATAGTGATTAAAAATCACGTCTTTAGCTGCTCACACATCTGGAACCAGCTGGATTTTCATCTTCCGATAATTATTTTTCCTAACCAGCATTTTTTTTTTTTATGACAAATGCAACAAAAGCTAACAATCTGTTGGTCTAAAGTACAAACTGAAAAGGTGTAATACCACACAATTAATCACCAAATATTGCAGAAGTACTTATTATCTGTAGCTCCTTTTAGCTCCTATTACAAGGACACAGTTTCTGTACTTGAATGCATTTCAGGCTGAAACTAAGTGACTATATATGAAAATAAATGTTTACATACAGTCACTATGAATGTCATTTTGACATATCAGAAATTCAGAAAACGTGTGCTTCCAGTATTTATTTATTTTTTCAAATTCACTGAATATGCATTTGAATACAAAATACAAAATTACTCAAATGCATATTTATAGACCCTGAATTATTGGTGAATTTATGTGAACACTGTTATGCAAAACTAAATTCAACCTTATTTTAAATGTTGTTTCTGGTAAAGTGGATAATTTTTGAAAAAGAAAAAAAAAATAGATATAAAAAATTATGAATGCTAATAAATCACTACCACTGCTCATCTTGCTTTGATAATTGCAATAATTGTAAATTCTTCTTTTTTATATTTATGAAAATTTATGAAAGAATCAGAACTACAAACTCTTTTAAAAAAAGAACCTGCAGCCCTAAGTCCTGTCACTGATGTGAATCTGGTTGCTACAACCCATAGATAATCAGATAAACAGATGGTGATTCCCAGGTACGCCAATAATCAAGTGCCAAAAATGTGATACACACTTTTTTTCACATCAGCAAGCAATTCCTTCCTGATGTTTAACATATAATAGGGAAAAAGACTGATTTCAACATCCTTAGTGATTCTAACTCTGCCAAACATACACATGTACAAACACACAAATGCTCGTTTTAGTAATTTGCGCAAATGTACCATTCATTAATGAAAGTTAGTTGTTTATTTTATATTTGGTGAGTTGGAACCATGTCTGATTTATTTTTTTGTCAGAAAAAGTTTTTTTTTATGAATATAGTTTTTGTTTGATTTGTATTTCATTTCTCATGATCACTGTAGAAAACTTTACGTTTTAGACCCCTGGTAGCGCAATGTTGCCCTGAGGCAACAAACCCAAATCCGGTTCCGGGAGGTGTCAGGGTCCGATTTTATGATTGATATGTAATTAAGGGCCAAAAAGCTCCCAAAGAATGCAGGAAAATATTTTTTCCTAAAAAAATAAAAAGTCATGCCATAGAAGGTTAAGATTGGAAGAGGTTTCATACTGTCATGACATAGTGGGTGTTTCAGCAATTATGTAAAAAAATTATTAAAGTTACATAAAACTGTATGTAACTTTAATAAAATATAATCTGTGGAAAAAATTTACTAACTAGAAACAACCAATCAGAGCTAAGAGGCGGGTCTTAGCAATGTCAATCACAATTTCATATAGCTGCTCATCCTCTTTCACTCTCCCCCTCGCTGAGACCCTCCTCCTGGCTCTGATTGGTTGTTTTTGGTCGGGAACACCTCATTTCTTCAGAGGACAGGTGGAGAAGATCCATTTTTCCCACAGATTATTTGTCTGATATCAATTTGTCACAACATGGTGACAGTTTCAACAGATATGTAAAAAAGAAACCCATATTCTTTATAAGAGTTACATACTGCAGCTTTAAGGCTAGCTGAGTGCTTCATGGTTTGGAAAACGGTTTTGTTATTGTGACATTGACAGATTAAAATTGTGTGTCTGCGCGCCGCTCATCTCAGCGGAGACTCATGATTGATGTTCCTCTTCAACAGCCGCTCAGCCTCTGCCGCACACCTTCCTGCTTCCCAAGCCGCTCCCGGTGCCTCAGCCCCTCCACGGCCCCATCCCCTTCATCCCCGCTGTCGCTCGCCCGGAGGTCGGACAGAGAGAGCCCAGGGAGTCGGGTCTAAATGCAAATGGCTGGCTGCACAGAAGCTCCGCAGACTGGGACGTGAATCCCCACATAAGCTGGAACCTGTCAGGAGAGAAGCAGCAGGACGACGACAGAGTGGGGAAACATGCAGACTGAGGACAGGGAATACAAATGAAATACTTTCTTTCATTAAATCTCTCCAGTTTAATTATTTTTTGTCTCTGTTTTGAGTCGTTGTGGCATAGTTTATTACCTGTGGATTAAAATTCACAACATTTGTAAACTATTTATGGGTTTGGACTTCCTTTTTAATAGAACTGCTGATAAACCGTGCATCTTTTATGGGGCGGCAGGGGAACTAAACTTGTAAACAATTACCAACATAGGATTTGTGTTTTGGTAAATAAATCAATGCGTTTGCAGCATACATTATTTAGCTGTTTGTCTTGCTTCCTATCCCCCTGCTTTGAGCTTTATGAAAATGACATGAGTGGTATGCCATAAATGATGCATTCAAACAGGGACTGAGGAATTTTCATCAAAGCGGGTCCCACGTGTCTGTCTCTGCAGCATCAGGACCAGCTCCCTCTTCTTGCAGTTACCACTCCAACAGAGCAGGGGGCAGTAAAGAGATTGAGGTGCAGAAGAGCTTTTACAGGGCTTGCTCCTTTTACAGTTAGCCGGTGAATGAACCGGGCAGATGGGATGCTGAATAGTGAGGGAGGAGTCTGAAAAGCGTTTTAGTGCTGGAAGAATCAGGAAGATAAAGCCACGGCAGTTAAAGTTAATTAAGTTAGCTTTAATGGTTGGAAGACAATTTCACTCGTTTTATTTAGCTGTGTTTCTTTAGCAGAACTTGAAATTTAAGCAAAAACAGGACTAGTAATTTTTATCTTGTTTACCATAAATTGACTTTTTATAAATGTAGATTTTTCTTTTGAATGCACAATTTTAAAAAATCGTAAATCAAAATTTTCAGGTAAATATGTGATCCCGGTGTTTGAAGGCCATGTAGGGACGATAACTCTCATTAAAACCAAAAATAAATCAATAACTTGATAGATGTAAATAAATAATACACCAAAGCTTGTAATTTCTTCTTTTAAATTTACAATTTACATTTATTTTCATGAAAAAAACGCCACCGACCCCTTTGGTACGCCGCTCGTCTCGCCGGTTAGTGAATGGTGCAAAGCCACGTTTCTAGGGAGAAGCTATGTAGATAAAGATGTTTCACTCTGATCATATTTTTGGATATCATAAATTTCATTAATTTTTTGTACTCGTATTTTGTTACATATTATAACTATTTAAATGTAAACGACAAAAACAATGAAAAAGAAATTATTTTCCCCAATACTTATTTAACTCTTTCGCATTTTCATTTTTGATTTTGTGTATAACGTAAAATAATGTATAAAATGCAAAACATGCCATCCATCTACGTTCTGTCATAATTAAAGAAACTATTACCAATTTTATTTAGCTATTTATTTCTTGTTTCCAGACCGAAACGTTATTTTTACGTTATTTTTTAGGGCAACGTGACTCCTCTGTTATGTTTTAGGATCTTTGACTGCCATGTTATTTTGGCGCGGAATATTCAGTTATTGTACCGCTCTGTAGCGCGGGAGTTGATGTTTTCGGGCATACATGTTGGAGCCGAACTATACTTAATTACTAAGTTTTAAGTCAGCATCAAGCGAAGAAAGTGCTTAAAGACAACATGCAGCGGAGCATCGCGTAAGTAACGACTGTGTAAACAGTTTAAAGTTTTAATTAACTGTGTTAAAATAGTCTATGTGTCTCTAATGCAATAAACCCCCACGTGATATGTGTTATATGTTGTTTTTGCTGTTAAGTTGTGTGTTAAAACGGTTCCTACCACGACCAATAGCAGTGTATTTGTGTCAATAGTTGTATGCTAGCACTAGCATAACATAGTTATAGCTAACTGTGGTTTAGCTCTCAAAATGTTTATGAAAGTAAAACACTAATCATAAGGTCAAGGTTCTGGGACGCTTTTCAGCTTGAAGTAGCTCATGTTGTTTAAACGAATAGTGGTTGTGAAGAAGCTTTATGATGCTAAGCACTGGGATACACCCAAAGCAAGCTAGCAAGGTTAAAACACGGAAAAGCCACAAACATATGGGGTGCTTATGGGGTTTTAATGTTATATAACAACACAAAGTTGCTCCGTAATTGTCAACTGGAAGTGTAATGTTGCTGGACTTTTGTTGTTTCGTGAAAACGTGTTGCCTCTTATATTTAAAGTATCTATTTATATTCTTTTTTCTAGATCGTTTTTTCAGCCCAGGACCAAGGTTAAAGACAGCCAGAAGAAAACTGCAGATGAACCAGTGAACAAGTAAGTTATTTTCCATGTTAAATCATAAATAACGTGAGAATGCTGCAGTTGTTTCATTTATCTATCTGCAGAAATGAAGCTTTGCATCACAAAACTCACCCATCGTATTCAAAATACACTTTTTGTTTACCAGATTGCATCTTATGAAGTTCATAAATTAAATTTCTGTCATTTTATTTGCCTATATATACGTAGTAAGCTGCCTAGGGAACTTTTAAAGTAAATTTGAGTCTAGTATGTATTAATATAATTTTGCATTAAATTCTCAGCGTAAATTTTCACTCTAAAGATTAACTGGAAATTTTAAAACAGCTAATCTGTTTACTTGTATATTGCCAATTTATAACAAACTGCACATATTTGAAATACTTACATGTTAATCTTAAAATTTTAGAATATTGAGAAGGAGTTAAATGGTTTTGCCACTCTTTTCTATAAATGAAACCAGGTCTAAATAGCTCTGCTCACATCGGAGTAGCAAAAGCAAATGAGATGGATTAGCAGTGCTTGCTAACAGTTAATTGTGTCAGTTAGTGCATGTTACTGTGGAATATTGTCTCTGCTGTCCTGATATTGAGCTGTTAGCATATCATATAGCAACAGTCTTCAGTCAGAGGCCTCATCAGGTTTGTCATATGACTGACTGCTACTGGAGATTCCTTCTGCTCACAGCATCACCATCCACAACAACTCTGTGTGAAATGAGTTTGGTCAACATTTAGTTTCCCTTTGGGATAAATAAAACATTTTTAACTGAATTGAATCTTGTGTAGAATCATTACACAGAGAGAGGAATATTTTGAATGTTTCTCATTGTAATTTGGCTTACAAATAAATATCCTGCAGGTTTTATTGGTACCGTCCTAATAATTATCCAAAATGACTGATAAATAATAAATCTGCATATTAACATTTTAAACAGTTATTGAAACATATTTAAAAAAAATAAAATTTATTGTGATTTAACTAATATAGACAGGTTTTTAGAGCATATAAAAAAATAGTCTTTTTCTACCACTGGGTATTTATCGTATCACATTTATCATTTATTGCGATACATTTCGTTCAAGAATTTTGGTTTATCATTGTCAAGATAAATTACAATTTATTGTTTAAAACCCTCCAAAACTGTCCATATTGTTGGGATTGTTAGTTTTACTATTATTCTCCACTGTTTGTATAATAAAGGTGTATCAGTAGATAGCAATACATTTAAAAATATGATTAAATGCGGTTACTGTGTGCAGCTTACTGACTCAAATCACACTTCTCTATGTGAATGAAGCGTGTTACAAATTGAATGAATTTGTGTTACAAATGGGAATATTTCTCAAGAGCAGTATTTGTGTTTGTGGGGCTATAATTGCTGGGACACAAAAAATTAAGTAATAAATAGTTCTTATCGTCACATTTGTCATGATTACAACAGAACCACAACATATCGTGATAGAACCTTCTCCCCATGCCGCTCTCCTCTGGTGGTCAAACTATTGTTGGTATATTTTAGCTGACTGGGAATGCTAATGTTTTATAGAAGCTGTGTCTTAACGGGGATGAGGCTGCCTGAGTGTGAACTTATTTTCTGACACTCATTGCAGTTAGAAGCTGATCAACATGAGGAACATATGCGGTTTGGTGGAATAACAGTTCTCTGTAGATGTGTGAATTACTCTCTGAAAGCGTTAATGATCAGAAGATGCTGTGAAAACTTTCCTGCTCAATCCGGAGCCGCTTTGAAGATGAAGTGTTCATTATCACTATAGTGTGTAATCTTTAAAGCAAGTCTTAAAACTCGCTTTAATTGACTGGCCTTTATGTAATGATCCTCATCACAGCTGTGACCGCTTTCTTTTATTACTCTGATTTGATTTCTCTTCCTGCTGACCCCCGTCTTTTTTTTTTTTTTCCTTTAATTTTCTTGGCGTGTGGTTTGTGTTTATGTTCCTTGTCTTTGTGTGTTTCCAGACCCATTAAAAGCCCCTTGAAGGTGCAGAACGGCGTCCAGGAAGCGGATTCGCCGATCAAGAAGGTCGCCAAGCGCAGCCGGCAAATCCTGGACAGCGACGAAGACGAGGCGCCGCTTGTAAAAGAACAAGGCGACAAAGGAGCTCCCGCTAAAACCGAGAAGGTAAAAACACCCGTGATAAATCCACTGGAGCTGCGGTAATGAAGAGCTCCCACAGGCTTATCGTTGGCGTTTTGTTTATTTAGTGATGGGGAACGTCTCACTGTTGCACATCACTGTCAATAAGATCCATTTTGAAAAGAGCTGATTATCAGCGCTGGCTGCCGTTCAACCACCTGTTATATGATAAACACTCCTCTTAACCGCCCCGCTCACTTTGCGGGGTGATGTGTCTGCAATTATTCATTATTTTCTCTCAGAGGGGAGAGAGCGTGATGGATATGCGAGGCTAGTCGGTGTGACCCACCTCTCTGCTTGTTTATGTGTGGCCAGGTGGTAATAATACATCCTCTCCTGTCCTGTTGGCAGCAGAGCATCTCCAGTAGAGATAATGTCAGTCGGCACCTGATAGCTGCTTTTGTCTGTGATTTATCTGTTGGTTCAATTCACTGATGTCTAATTGCTCCTCTGAACCATGTAAAAACTGTCCAAAATTAACTAGAAAGAGAATTCATAGACCTGTTATAGTTTTATAACTACAAACGGTGCCATAAAATGAGGCCTAAAAGAGATGAAGTGCTTGTCAGAGCCATTGGTGTTCGACTGCTGTGGAAAAGCTCCGGATTCTGTCAGATTTCTTCTGTTTTTTTGCAATTTTGTTGCACTTAAATGTTTCATGTGATCAGAAAGAAATCGCATCTGATGGCAGACATGTCGATCTTTCAGTATTTTACTTTGACCATGTAATTGATCAACTGGATACTTTGAAAATAAATTTGCTTAATGGAAACAT